GGGTGATTAAACAATAATGAAACTGTTAGATGCTTGCAGGGAAACACTGCTGCCTGTGTGTGGACTTTGCACTGGAGAAAGTTTCAATTGTTCCAAAGCAGGGCTTGCTCTAAAATGTAGCTTTTGTGACTGCTAGTAGCATAGTTGTCTAAATTACTGACTCTCTTGAGGCCATTATACAAGCATTGCAAAATGTTTTTGGAAACAGTTTATTTTATGATTCAAATAAAGCTTTGTCTTAAATGTCCCTTCCTACTTTATAATCAAAAACCTAGAAATTGAGGAAGAGAATTCTTATATTTTTTAATTCACAGAATGCTGCAATTCAAAATTCAGGTTCTTCAAACTGGAGACTGATATTTGCGTAGTTCATGCCTTGTAGTTTTTAAAGAAATTGAAAAACTTGTCAGGTGTTGTATGTGATCACTTGTTTCCTTATAAGGTCAGTCAGCTTCTGTTCTGTGTTGCTATTTCATATCATTTTGGTGCACAGGGACCTCTGTTACCATAAGTAAGGGCAAGTTTACACTACAAAATTAAGTCAACCTAAGTTACGTTGATGTACAGCCGCCACAATAATTAAATCACTTTTACACATCCACAGTACACTCCTTGTGTCCGTGGTGCATGTCCTCACTAGCAGAGCTTGCGCTGATGCAGAGAGCAGTGCACCATCTGTAGTTACCCCACTGAGCAACTTGCCACCGTCTAGCGCATAGTATTTTGGGAAGGGTTTGCACTGCCTCTTGGGGGCAAATGAGTCACACAGGGCTGACTGGAAACATGGTGCAGTTTTCTCTAACCCATAATGTTATCTCCATCCCATAATGTTTCACGCCTCTTTTCAAAAGCCCCACAACCCACTCCATCTGTGTGAGAAGGATGGATCCTGCAAAGCTCTGCATTGTTGTGATGAGCCTTGCAAGCATGGCGCGCCTGATCCTGCGGTATTTGTAGAGCTGCCAGAGGAGCTACAGGGAACATGATGACTCCTTGCAGGCTAGGTTGCTGTGGGACATAGAAAGAAACAATTCAAGGTGGTTGTTGGATTCACAGAGCAGCTGCAGAGGTGGAGTGCTGGTTCGGAACCTTAGAAACAAGCACTGACTGTTGGGATCACATTGTTATGCAGGTATGGGATAACTCGCAGTGTCCACAGAATTTTTGGATGTGCAAGGCCACATTCCTAGGTGTGCTTGTGTGTGTGTGTAGCTTTCCCAAGCCCTTCAGCAGAGTGACACCAAAATGAGAGCTGCACTGACCGTGGAAAAGCAATTGGCGATAGCTAGTGATCAGTTGGGGATCAATTTGGAGCAGGGAAATTCACTGTGGGGGTTGCTGTGATGCAAGAATGCAGGGCCATTAATTGCGTCCTGCTATGAAGGACTGTGACTTTGGGCAATGTGTAGGACATATTGGATGATTTTGCAGAAATGGTGTTTCTGAACTGTGGTGGAGTGATAGTGGCACACATACCCCTATTTTGGCACCAGACCACCTTGCCACAGAGTACATCAACGGAAAGGGATACTTTTCTATGGTATTGCAAGCATTGTGGATCACCAGGGATGTTTTACTGACATCAGCGCAGGATGGTAAAGGAAGCTGCATACACACACATCTTTAAGAACATAGGCTTGTTCAGAAAGCTGCAAGCAGGGACTTTCTTTCCAGACCGGAGGATTACCATTGGGGATGTTGAAATGCCAGTAGTGATCCTGGGAGACCCAGCCTACCCCTTACTCCCGTGGCTCATGAAGCCGTACACCAGCCACCTTGGCAGCAGCAAGAAGCGCTTTAACAACAGGCTCAGCAGGTGCAGAATGACCGTTGAATGTGCCTTTGGCTGTTTGAAAAGCTGCTGGTGCTGTCTACTCATGAGATTTGATCTCCGTGGAAAGAAAATCCCAATGGTTATAGCTGCTTGCTGTGTACTTCATAATATCTGTGAAACAAAGGGGGAAAAGTTTCTGCTGGGGTGAAGGGTGGAGGTGGAATGGTTGTCTGCTGATTTTGAGCAGCCAGATACTAGGGTTGTAAGAAGAGCTCAACAGGGAGCTATATTGATTAGGGAGTCTTTGAAAGACCATTTTAATAGTGACCCACAGTAAAGTATGTTGCTGTAGTGTGCTCTTCTTGGCATTGGTTTTTTTTGAACCCCAGTATGAACCTTATAATGAGTGCTCAGTGTGTAGTAATATAACATTGAAAATGAATGTACCTATTGCCATTATCTGTGAATGATGTCAGACTCACCCAGCATATGTTGTGAACTAATAAAGATGAATTAAGTTTCCATAAATAGACTTTTATTCCAAACCTATGCAAACAGACATATTTATAAATGAATTAAACTTTATAAATACAAGGAAAAGAACCTTTGAAGGGGAAAGAAAATTCATTTTCATTTCACAAACACCAACTGTATCTCTCACAGGTCAGTGTATGTGTGGCTGTGATTGCCTGTACTCTCCTTCAGGGTGGAGTGATGGGCTAGTGCATCAGCCCCGGATTTCCTGGGAATGTGTGTAGGGAGGTCCCAGAATGCAACTATCTATGGGCTGCAGAGGAAGGCGAGCACGGATGAACCTGAAGATCAACAGGAGTCTCCAGCATCTCTCGTTTGCTGCTTGAGAAGTGCTAGTAGCATCTCCTGCTGCTCGCTCTCTCCTTTTCCTTTGCTTTTCTCCTCTCCGTTCTATCCCTGTCCTTTCTGTCCTTGAGGGTGATCCTCCAAGCTCTGTGCTCAGTATCTGAAGCACCAGAGGCTTGCAGGATCTCTTGAAACATGTCACTACACGTCCTCTTCCTTCTTCTTCTTATCTGACTGAGCCGCTCCGCTGGTGTGGATGGAGAGACCCTCAAGGTCACATTTCCAGATGCAAAAGATACAGTACACAGAGGTACTATTGAGAGTGTATTCACAAGATAAACGGAAACTTGGTATCCTGAACTCACTCCCCTTCATCCACACAAGTTACAGGCACTACATTCTCACTTCTCCTTGGGATTCATAGAGCACAGCGGCAGTCCCAGCCATGGTGAATACCGCCCAAAGACAGGGGGCGAGTTGGGACAATGGGGGTGTGGTAGCTCATGGGCATGACTATATGTGGTTAGGGGAATTGAACTGAATGCTGGTACCGTTTTCCACAGGCAGTGGTGATGTTAGCTGAGATCTCACTCCTGCGTGTAATGGAGGCTGAAAGGGAACAGCTCCTGCATGCGTCTGTCTGCAGACCGGGACCCTATGCTGCTAGCCTGTGCGCTGCAATGGTGCCTGCTGAAGTAATTGCTGAGTGGTGTGGGAAAGTGTCCTATTGTGGCGGAAGAAATAAGGCAGCCCCACCCAGAAACCTTGGGCAGAGGATTGCAGACTACCTCCAGAAAAGTTTCCTCGAGATCTTTATGGAGGATTCATGGGACATCCCAGTGCACTTAAACAAATTATTGTGCAGGGCTCCCTTGGTCTAATTGTACAAGGGAGTGAGAAGCAGATAGCAACTTTGCATCTATTGATTATTTCACTACGTGTTCAAGCATGATTTAAAAAAGAGTAAATGAACAGAGGTGTCCCTGCAGTTTCAAAGCAAATTGCGCACTTACCAGAGGTTCCTTTCCCTGCATCAGGCTTGCCCATGCTGGACTGTAGGGACTGGCTCGACTGGTCTGGAATAAACAGGTCCTGGCTGGCTGCACCACTGGGTCCCCCGGTCATCTGTCCCCCATACTACTCCTCCCTTGTCCAACATCACCTCCTCACTATTCACTCAGGGGCCTGTGATTCTGACTCCCCCGAAGTACCACGGGGCTCTTCGGGGTGGTCTCAGCCGAGGATGGCACGCAGCTCTTTGTAAAAGTGGCATATCTGCGGCTCGGCACCAGAACAACTGTTAGCATCCCTGGCCTTCTGGTATGCCTGCCGCAGCTTCTTGGCTTTCATGTGGCACTGCTACGGGACCCTCTTTTAGCCCTTCTCCCTCATGCCCCAAGCGGCCTGCTCGCAGATATGGACGTTTCTACAGCTAGATCATAGCTGTGCCTGCACAGTCTTTTCTCCCCACAGACCCAGGACTCCACCACCTGCTGTGTACTCCAGGCAGGAGCACGTCTGCGGCGTGTAACCAGCATGGTCAGCTGGGCAGTCGCTAGGTGAGCTGTCCGTGCTAAACAAACAGAAAATGGAATTTCAGAAATTTGTGAGCGTTTAGAGTAGAAGGGTGTATACCTGTGTACCTGTCTGCTGGGCAACAAAGCTCAAAATGGTGACCATGGCGGTCACAGTAGGGCATTGTGCGACACCTCCCAGAGGCCACTAAAATTGACATAAGCAATGCAGTGTCTAGACTGATGCTGCGTCGACCTAAGTACTAGGCCTATCGGGGAGGTGGAGTTATTAAGTTGGCGTGGTGGGTGGGTTACATCAACAGGAGCCACATTTTAGTGTAGACGCTTACAGAGTTAGATCAACATAAGCTGCCTTACGCCAACCTAACTCTGTAGTGTAGATCAGGCCTAACCCTATTTATTATAGAGGCTTCCTTTACACAGAGGAGAACTGCAAGATTCTGGATGCAGGCACTTGTGCAAAAAGCAGCTTACTCTTCTAACTTGCTTTACTATTTTTGTGTTTATACCAAGACTTTTCCCCTCCCCATCTCTTTTTTTTTCTTCTGTTTAATCATTGAAAGGTCACAATCCTCTGTGTATGACATCACTATATTCCCATGAAAATTACACAAGTCATTCAATCAGCATTGTGATTTCCTTCTAGGATGAAGTAAGAAATGGCTAAAATGTGTTGCCACTGATGCTATTAAATATATTGGAGCTCTAAAAGTGAATTGAAATATTTTAAAAACACATACAAAACTGTAAGATGTCAAAATGTAGGTAATTATGTATATTTAAATATTACAAATAATTAATGCATTTTGGAGCAAAATACTTGAAAATTACTTTTTTTTTTTTGGGGGGGGTGCTCCCACCCTGGCTTTCAGATATCCTTGTCTACTGCTACAGTTGATGCTGGTGACACCTTAAAACTGTGTAAAGAATGGCTTTTACCTGATTGTTGTAGAGGTACTGATGTCATCTCTGAACACATGTTTTTGTGAGTAAAAATCTCTTTGTAATGTAAGTCTGTGTGTTCTAAAAATTTGAGATCTCAAAAATAGCATGTTTAATATTATTTATGCATTTCCATTCTCCTGACTCAGTCCATTGCTTTACATGTAAGATCACCCTTCCCAGCAGTGATGACATTTTCAGTGATTACATGTCCTATGACATTTCCAGAACTACAAGCCCGTAGAGATGTGTATGTTCTTATCCTGATGGCTGCTAAGACATGTTACTTCTATGTTTAATTCCAAAATAAATGTATGTTTTCAATGTGAAGATCCATCTTCATGTAAATGGACAATTCTTAATGAGCCATCAAGTTAAGAAACTAGAAGTCAGAGTGGATATAACTTAATTTGATGTTAAAAGGCTGTTTGGCTATAAAGACAACATAATATAGTGCCTTTTAATGTCAGAACTGTCGTCTATTTCTTGTGTTAGAATGCCAGATTACAACAGCTGTCATTTCTGACCCATCACAGAATGCTGCCTGTGCATGGAAGAGATTAAATTGACATCTTTAGTTGTTTTAGAATCGAATGAGTAAGCATACTGGGTCAGTCAAAAGTTATTTTTACAAGAGTGAGAGAGATTTTCCCAAGAGTGAGAGAAAACAAGATAGATCAACTCCTGCCAACTTTCATGATTGGTTTTTTCTTCAAGCCCCAATTCCAGTAATCATATTATTATTTGACAGATTTCAGAGGCACAGCCGTGTTAGTCTGTATTTGCAAAAAGAAAAGGAGTACTTGTGGCACCTTAGAGACTAACCAATTTATTTGAGCATGAGCTTGACAATCTCAGCAGTTGTCTTCCCCTTCCCCCCTCCACCCCAAATCTGTCTTCATGGTTGCCAAGAGGAACTTGAAAATGTGACTCAAAAGTACCCTAAAGGTTTAAGACCCAAAAGACAAATAAAATTCCCCAGATTATTTTTTTTATTTTTATTTTTTAATTTCATGATTTTTAAGCCACTCATGATTTTGAGGGCAGGGGGTGTTGTTTATGATTTTTGAATGCTTGGAGTTGGCAGTACTATATTAGTTGGGAACTAAAATATGGACCTTTTATGCCTAATGACTTGGATCATATATGGGGGATTTATTCTCCATGATATAGGTCTGGAATCTCGTTGATGTTGGTTATTGTGGGACAGTTGAAGTGATCAGTAGCTACTAACCTTGCCATCTTTTTTTAGAATTGTTGGTGTGGCTTTTGAATAACTTGGCATGGTGACTTAACCAGGTTTGTCAAATTTATGTTATTTACTGGGAATGCCTCTATGCATGCGTCTTGTATAAGCAACCACTGTAATATGCCTATTTTATTGAAATACAATTTTGGGGGGATGTGAGTTCCAGTACCTTTGGTGAATCATAATTCTGAACTGCAGCCTGATTTCCTTGTGCTCCTCTTGACAGTCTACACTGATTTTTCTAAAGTATGTACTAGATCAGTGTAGTGTTCCACCATAGTACAGGTGCAGTTGTTACACCATGCAGGGAAGCCAAAACTTAGGAATCAATTTGTATTCATTGCCAAGGTTGTGGGTGCCAGTGTTTGGAAACTGTTACTGGTTTGAAGAGTGTTTGTACCGATCTGCCGGCTAAGCACCTCTGGGTAGGTCTATAATACAGCTAGCTGGAGGCAAGCTTCCCAGCCCAGGTAGAAAGAATGGAGCTAGGGTGCTAAAAATAACTGACACCCTGGGCTTGAAAACCTGAGCTCCATCCTGCTCCTCAGAGTTCGCGCTATTTTTAGCGTCCTAGCTAAAGCCCTGCTAGCACAAGACTATCTGGGCTGGGAAGGTTGCGCCCATTTGCACTGTATACATACATACCTGAAGTGACAATGTTTCCACAAGATTGTAGAGATGGTATCTTTCGAACTGCTAGGTACATATTATTGCTTTATACTCTTTGACAGTTGGGTTTGCAAGTTTTGAGATGGTATAAAGCACTGGTTTCTAGCTCTAGTAGTTCACAGGTTACCAACCATTTGCACTGTATACATACATACCTGAAGTGACAATGTTTCCACAAGATTGTAGAGATGGTATCTTTCGAACTGCTAGGTACATATTATTGCTTTATACTCTTTGACAGTTGGGTTTGCAAGTTTTGAGATGGTATAAAGCACTGGTTTCTAGCTCTAGTAGTTCACAGGTTACCAACCATTAATATGCTGCTGGAATTAAGATTGGAGGAAGACAGAGAAGCAAGATGGCAATTGAAAAGATGCCGTTTTAAGGTCATCTGATTCAGAATTTTCCAGGCCCATAAAAAATGCATTATATTACTAGAAAGCTGAGAGGTTCAGCTCTGTAATGGATAGCAGTATAAATGTCACACAACATTTCCTACTAGCCCTAGTGACTTACATCAGACATCATATTCAGTCCTCTTGGGTTTTTTTCTAGCAGTTATCCAAAACTGAATGGAGCAAATCTTGGACTTCAAACAGTTCAGTGCTAAATGGACATTGTTTTTGGAGCTATAATGATATTTACTATTTAAAAAGAGCATGTATAGAGCAGAGCCTCAGAGTGTCTGCAATCTTTTACCCATATAGCACTCCTGTATGGAGGCAAGTATTTTCATTCCTATTTTATAGATGAGGAAACTGAGGGTACATTTATTATACAGGAACTATACCAGGATAGGTATGGCGCCGTAGCTATGTTGACATAGCTCTGTAGTGTAGACCCTGCCTACACCTAGGGTGGATTTGATTGAAATCAAATTTATTTAAATCATGATTTAAATCACTAGTCAGGAAGACTTGATTTAATCATGGTTTTCTATCTAAAAACATGGTTTTCTGCATTCTTGTTGATTTTTGTAACCTTAATACATATTCTTCACAACTCCGAGAGAGATGTAGGTTTCATTTTTAGAAGGTACACACGATACATTTTTAAGCAGTGATTTATTTTGAAAACTTCTCAGATTAGTTTTACAGCTATCTCAGAAAATGAATGATTGTTTGGTTATTTCATTTACCAAAGGTAATTGAAGCAGATATTTATGAAGTCAGTGGGAGGTGAACTATCTCCAATTCAACAGGTTAATCATTAATATTTGGAGGATTTTCTTGCCATGCTATATTAGGAGAACATCACCAGACAGACGCTTTAATTGTTTTATTTAACTAAAATAACAATGTTAAGTATTCTGGATTTTTTTCTTCAACAGCAAACATAATATTTTAACAAAACAAGCATATGTGCCTCACTTCTCACATTTATCTCCAGACTTCTTCTCCTTGTCTGGATCTGTTCCTCCCCCAACAATCTTCTATTCATTGAACTTTTTGAAACTTTGTACTTTTAGAGAGAGGTAAGGGATTGACTCTGCGTACACAAATTTGCAGAGGGACAATAGAGTTGAGGTCTGTTATTTCTCACCTCTGTATATTATTTATTTAAAAACATTTTTGGTGTTAACAAGCATGTTACCTCCGGAGAGACAAATCCACAGTTTGAGAATGGCAAAACTAAGCATCTCTGATGCTATCTTTTAGATTGAGCACTGAGTCCCATTGGGTAGAGAGAAAGATTAACCTAAATAATCTATACAGAAGCCTGTGGAACCCCATAAAATTGGGTCCCTAATCCATGAACTATTGGAACTCACTCACAAAACTTTTCTTCAACATTACATGAATATATTGTCTCATACTATAGAATTAGAATTTATAATCCCCATTCCATGATGAGATATCTTTGAGCTATAATGTATCTTAATTAAAACTATTTTTAGATAAAAAGCTTTTTGAGGAAAAAACTTATAAAAAAATCCGATTTAAATAAAAAAAAAATCATTGATTTTTATCCACCCTGCCTACACCACAGACAGAAGGGGTTTTTCTGTGTTTGTAGGAACACCACCTCCCTGAGCAACTGTAGTTAGGTTGATGGAAGCATGCTTCCATTGACCTAGCTATGTCTACACTGGAGGTTAAGTTGGCATAACTGTACTGCACAGGAGTATGGATTTTTCACACCCATGAATGACATAGGTATGTCAACCTAATTTGTAAGTGTAAACCAGGCCTGGTCTACAAAGGTTAATTCATTTTCCAAGACCACAAAGGGTATTGGAGTTAAAATCAGAACTAGCATGCAGGATTTCCGGTCTTCTAGTACTATGGTCTGTCTACTATACCCAGGTCTCTTACCTGTTACACACTTCTAACAAAAAGACATATTATCCATTATCTGAAAACTCAATTTTTCCAACCATTTTAGATGCTGTGAAGTGGACTCTGCTCTCTATGGGCTTGTCTACACTACCCGCTGGATCGGCGGGCAGCGATCGATCCAGTGGGGGGGGTCGATTTATCGCATCTAGTATAGATGCGATAAATTGACTGCTGAGCACTCTCCTGTTGACTCCGGTACTCCACCAGAACGAGGAGCGCAAGCAGAGTTGGCAGGAGAGTGTCAGCTGTCGACTTACCACAGTGAAGACACCACAGTAAGTAGATCTAAGTACGTCGACTTCAGCTACGCTATTCACATAGCTGAAGTTGCATATCTTAGATCAACCCTGCGCGGTAGTGTAGACAAGCCCTGTGTGTCATGCTGAATGAGGAGGTGTTTAGTTTGCATTTCCATTTCCCTTTGCATTTCAGAGCCAGTTTGGGTATGAATTTCAGGTTTATCTTGAATAAAACTAGTTAAGCAACAGGTTTGCTGTATTTGTAAATCACTAATATTGTATCTACCTCTAATTAAAACTGTGTCAAGTAGAGTAAAAGCTCACAAACATTGGAACAAGCTGAAATCAGATTTTTATCAGAATACAGATGGACAGCAGGGCTTTAGGTTATGCTTACAGATCTACTTGAGTTTTATACTTTGATGCACAATTCTTCTGCAGTATCATGGATTTCGACTCCTCTTTTCCAGCATCACAGTTCCGTCAAATTTGTGTGGTATCATTTTTCCTCTTCCAGTGTATAGAGTGTGAAAAGAAGCCCATTTTA